TCAATCGTCATTTCCCGGCTTGTGTAGAAAAAGCCACTCATTCGGGCGTGTTGATTCCATACATAACATCTGGCGAAGTCAACAAATCAATAAAGCTTCAAGCCAACAAACATGACACTGCAATAATCCTTACGCCCTATGATGTACCCAACCGTGCATCATACACCACATATATGCGACCGTGAAAAGATCAAGAATCGAATGCCAAGGTCGATCAAATGTACACATGCCTTGACTTTTTGGACTCGCTGCGTACAGACTCTATGGGAGGAGTACTTTGAGCGTCAGTGAGACTCTATCGAATCAGCATACCGACTTACTGATTTCTTTGGAGAACCATACCACCTACGAAAGTAGGTCGTTCAATATCATTAGTCTCAATATTTTACAACTGTTGCGCAACCATACGCACAACAATCACACGTCAGGCAAGGTTGCCCTCCAAACATATGTCTACTACCTGCAACTAAAGGCACTCTTGCGGCAGTCCTACATGATACAAAGGAAAGCTCAAAATCAACCCCATTTCTCTTGCTTCGACCTATTCTCAAACACAAAGCCCTTATCCTTGATCTACAACCGGACCAAAGAATACTACTTTTGCCAGTAGTCGCAGAATGACCTATGAAAACCCCGCCGATTGGAGTATGCCTCCTCCTTAGGGGCTCCTTAGCAGTTTTGACACCCCGCTTATGCAAACCCGTCTCGTTTCAGTCTGCTTGATCTCCAGTCTAAATGTTAAATGATGGCTGCATGCCAGCTCAACAATCGATTGGCCGACACGGAAACGCTTGTTGCTACCCGGCCTGCTTTGTTGGATCCTCTGATTGGACATATGGAAGTGAACGGCGTGCTAACACACGGGCCTCGCCTGCGAGAAAGGAGATCAGGTCAGACAATAGGAGGGCACCCTTGCCAAAAGACATCACGAGAAGCTCCCTCGTCCCGCCAAAGGGGTGCATCTTTTGTTCGCGGGCTGACTTTGATAGCAACATTCCGTTGCAAAAAGGCTGAGGACAAGACAACGCTGAACGCTTACGACTTTGTTGATGAATGCATTCAACAATGCACATAGAGTGTGGCTGCGAGAGACCTAAGGCACAAAGTACGATCAGTCAGAGAAATTGAGCAGGCTGCCCGATCTACCTTCAAGATGGAACGCCATCACGATCTGCGGTTTTTCTCTAGGTCCGACCTACTGCATGGCAGTACCTCACTGCTGGAAAAATCAACACCAAGACCAAGATAGCGCCAAACTTACCTCAATGCCCACCAACCTCCGCACTCTCTTCCCGGCCCGAAGCTACCTTCCTAACCTTTTGCCCGCTCAACTCTTCCGCCACACCTTCTAGAAACAAACCGTCTACTAGACTGATCTCCCTCGAATGATGCACCACTGGCCGCGCTTCGCTGCCTCCAGTGCCTGTCGCAGTTGCCGGCGCCGCGTCGGCACCCCCTTCTGCCAGACGCCCGCTGACGTCACCCCCGTCTCCAGGTGCCCGAGCCCCTCCCTGACCCGCCTGTTGCTCCCCCTCCCACTTTCGCTTCCGTTCCCCGCTCATGCTTACGTCACCCCCCGCCGGCGCGCCCGTTTCGGGCGTCGAGGCGCCCTCCCAGGGAGTCAGGGGCGTGTTGGGGGACGGGTGCACGGAGCCCGACACCTCGGACCCGGTTGGCAGACTCGGTTCTCGCACGGGCGCCGTTTCCTCCGTCTGCTCCCGCTCGCCGGCGACCGGTGAAGCCTCCCGATCGGGCAGGACCGCCTGGGGCTGGAAATCGGGGTCGGGCTCGTCATTGAGGAAACTGAGTGCCTGGGCGGCAGCAACCGAAGGCGATGAGAGCACTTCGTCAGCAAGAGGCCCTGTGGGGGCCTGCACAGAGACGGCCCTGGGCCCCAAATTGCTTTTGCCTTGAACAGGGCCGCCCTTCGAGAAGGGGTTTGCAGTGTGAGACGAGTGGGGTTGCAGTTGGGTGTGTGCGTCTTGCAATGGGGGGTACCCGCTCAAGTGCGGTTCCAGGGGGGGAAGAGAGTCGGCTTCGGCGTGGGGGGGCACTTGCGAAGAGCCAGCGAGGGGGGGTGCCACAGTGACGTGAGACTTGGAGAACGCCCCCAAAAAGGCAGAAACGGCGTCCGTGTTCCCCTGGTGCTGCGCGGGCCCTGTTTCCGACTTGGGCAGCGACTTCAACCTGGGTAACTTCGGCGCCCCACCCTTTGACGAGGCCCCCGTGTCCAAAACCACAGTTGTCCGCCCTAGGTCTCCAGCCGCCGTGCTGGTCACGTGCCCTGTCTCCACTAGCTTCGCCGCGTTCTTCGACGCCGTGTGCGGGGAAAAGATCCCGGCAGCCTCGCCTGACGCTCCTTCGTCCTGCGCTCCCCCGCTGCGTGTGCGCCCCAGCCTAACCTCCGGCAGGTTCGCTCGCCTCGCCTCAGAATCCCCCTCTACTTTCTCCAGCTCTGTCCCAGCCCCCTGCCAATCTGCGCCGCCCCTCTCAGCCAGGCCCTCCCCACTTTCCAAATCATTCGTCTGGAACTGGCGTAACCCAAAGTCGGGAAGCTCTAACCCGTTGTTGATCGCCACAGCGGCAGCAGCCGCCAAAGCGTCCGCCTCGTCGTGCACGTAGTTAATCCTCAACCCGGACCCGGTCCGCGCAACCCCCCCCGTTCTCTGACCCGCAGCAGGGTTCTGCGGAGCCCCAGACGAAGCATGTCCGCTGCTAACCCGACTCAACCCGCCCTCGGTAAGGCTGCCCGCGGCGCTAACCCCGGAAGACACCGTTCTGAGCATGGAAGGGGTACCTTGTTGCTGGAGGCTCCGCGGCAGAGCGGGAAGGACCGTGGTGGGCGTTCCGTGGAAAGGCGGTGTGGGGGGTACAAACGCAAAGACACCTGGCGGTGTGGGAGCGAGTGGTGGCCGTGGCGGCTGAGGGGCACCCGGAAGCCCCTGAGTGCGAGTGGGGTCCTGAGAAACAGGGGTCAACGGCTTGAGCAAAGACAGAGCAAGCCCGTGATTTTGCTTGAACTCGTTGGAGTTGGAACATTGACACGTTGATTTCATTCTGGGGCTCCGACTTACGTTCCTGCCCAATTGCTCCGCGTAACGCCCGAAAAATATGCGCGTCCGAAAACTATGCGCGTCATCCCGCGCTGAGCTCAGACGCATTGACGAGAGCATGTGTTTTGGACAAAGCATGTATAAGATGAAGATCAGCACAGTTGCCCAGGTGCTGCTTACACGAACTACCGATGTCATCTCTACACAGGCTGATGGGCACTGAGTCTTTGCCAAGGCAGGTGCCAGGAACTAATTCGGCTGAGGGTCATCTCTGACACTTCTCCAACGAAATTTCCATGCACTTTCGAAAGAGTGCGCAAGGTTAAAACCAATAGACTCACCTCAGGATGAGGCATCATCGGCGGAGGCACAGCTGGCGAGCCGCTCCTCCCCGGGGTCTGGAGATGTTGCGTCTGGCCCATCCCAGCCGCCCCCTGCGACATCTGCCTCGTCTCCTGCGACCCCTGCGGCAGCATCTGCGTCGAAGACCCACTCCGACTCTGCACCTCCTCGGACTCCGACTGGCTGTATGCAGTGGTAATGATCGTCTGGGGTCCCGTCGCCTTGTCGTCCTTCCCGCCCTGATGGGCTGTCCCCTCTTGCCAGCCCTTGCTCACTGGCCCCAGGTTGAACTGCTCCTGCCTGTGCTGAGTGACTGGAGGGGGTGCCGAGTGCAGCTGATGCTGCCCCCCGAAGGAGTGGGAGTGGTGAAGCGGTCGAGGGGCCTGCGAGGCTTCTTGGTGTTTGGGGACGGTCTGTAGGAGTTGGTACGTGGGCTCTGGTTGGATGTAACCGGGCACGGGGGCTGATTGGGCGCCTCCGCCAGTGAAAGAGTCTTGGGCCTGGCTCTGCCTGGGGGGCGCTTGCAGCGACATAGTGTGCTGGAGAGCGGGGGTCGAGGCAGGCCGTGGGAGGAACGCCGGTTGCTGGGCGTTCGACTCTGCGTAGTGCACCGTCTGCTGGCCTGCCGGCCCTGCTGCGGGGTCCTGGTAAAACGAACCCTGGACGAGCTGGTGGCCCCCGCTCTGCAACAGCTGGTGACCGCTCCCGCCAGGTGGCAGCATGCCATTGCCCGGCCCCTGCTGGTGCACCGCCTGCGGCCGCATGCCGGCAAGCTGGTGCTGATCTATTACGAACTGCTGCGCCTCTTGATCGTACTGGTACTGATACTGGGGGGGGGGGGTTTGAAGCAGCTGCGCTCCCCCTGAGAGCTGCGATTGGGTGTATAGCTGGCCGCCCGCCGAAAGAGACCGGTGCAGCAACTGCGGGGCTGCGCTAAGCTGCTGGTATACGGGAGGGGTATTGGTCGCAGCAGGCGCTAATTGAGCGGGCTGTAGCATGGTGGCCTGCTGCGGTTGGAAAGGAGAGCCTCGCTGGTTAGTGAAAGTGAGGCTGTCTGAGGAATGCAGCTGCTCGACTTGCTGGGGAAGCGTCCGCTGCAGACAAAGAACAAACGTATACCAGTCAGGAGCTGGGCATCGTACCAGAAAGAAGATCCATTAGACAGGCCCCCAGACACTCTGCAAAAAAAAGACTCAGGATTGTGGAGACATGAGCTCAATCGATATCAAAGCAGACGGTCAATTGGGCGCATGCAAACTGACAGATAGAAGTTCCTGCTCTTCTCGTAAGCTGTGCCAACAGCGGGGCTGGCTTTTGTCCCTCCCTGGTAAATTGGATGAAATGTAGCTCTTGAAGCTTGTCCAGTGGTTACAGAAAGGACCATGCCATCACACACAATCGACATGAAGTGGCAGCACTTACCCGAGGAGACAGCTGTCCTGGCTGAGCCTGGACATACAGCACCTCCTGAGCCCCGCCAGGCTGGCCCATCTGAGCTCCAGGACCCATCTGACCCCCAAGACCTGCTTGCTGCCCCGAAGTGACAGCTGTCAGGCCCTGCCCGACAAGTGCGTACCCCTGCTGCACGTTCGCCACCTGATACCCCCCTCCTTGAGGCAGCTGCACGTACTGAGGCCCCCCCCCCAGAAGTTGCACCCCCTCCTGGGGGTTGGACACCTGGAGGATCTGTACATTCTGGCTCATTTGAACGCTCTGCCCCCCCACCTGAGTGTATTGGACACTTTGCCCGCTCTGCTGCTGTTGCGCAAATTGTGGGTTGACCTGGGGCTGAGCAGACTGCTGACTGTTGGGGGGCTGTTGCTGGGTGTATTGCTGGCTGACTTGGGCCTGCTGCTGCGGTTGAAAGTGCTGATTCACAGGGGGCTGCGACTGGTACTGGAGCATCTGAGCAAGAGCAGTGGGTTGCGGAGCTTGCCCCTGGGACAGTAACTGCGCAGACTGGCCATCGGGGGTGATCACCGGGATCGCCTGGCTGGTATACCCGTTGAGGGTCACCGTAACCGTCCCATCAGACGAAAGGATTGCGACTGGCGTGCTGGGCCGCGAGGGGAGGTTCTGCTGAGAGGGGTGCCGGATGAGGGGGGGACCACTTGGAATGGAGCCTGGGTCTGAGAAGCCCCCCTGAAAGTGGGAGGGGGCAACGAGAGGCGCCACCTGGGGAGCTTGGAAAAGTTTGCCGTCAGCTGTGTACCCTTGCCACGAATTCGTCCCTGCAGGTCAACAAGGTTCGTGTCAGAAGAGGTTATGGCGAGCTGAACCGCAAGTGGGTGTGACCAGTAGGAGCGCATTGACATGGGCAAGTAGAGGCTGGCGCCTGGCAAACCTTTCTCATCCGAAGCGAGCATCCTTCTGCATAAGAAACAGGGGTTGCTTCTTAAGTGCATTGCGTTTGTTTATCCTTTCTCCAGAACTTTAACAATGCCATCGTTGACCGATCTGTGGCTTGGTTTCTTCAATTAGGTATGTGAAACTTGTGCTTGAGCTTGATGGGGCTTCAAGTGCAGTCGTTTAACAAAAGGTGTCAGCAGACTGTTCGCTATCCGACATACGTGAGGGGAAGGGGGTAAGGATCGTGTTAAGTCAATCTAGTCTGTGTTCTTCGCGTGAAGACAAATCTCCAAGCTGATCCAAGAAGAGGATCTTTTGCTTCAACACAGCGAAGTCGAGCAGGACAAAGCAGAACAAAAAACATAACTGCATACCTTCGCTGTTTGGATCTGAAAAGGTAGGAGCGTGACCTCCTTGGGCCAGTGCCTCCCCCAAGGAAGCCCCATATTGCATCTGGTTTGCTGCTAGGAGGGCGGACGCAGGCATCAACTGGCCGCTTGGGACTGGGCTGGGCGAGCGGTGCCGTTGCTGGGACACCGGTGTTGCATACATTCTTCCTCTGCATGAAAAGAAAAACACACTGTGAATCACATTATACGAGATCAGCCGAGATGAGGTCAGATCAGCCCAAACCCCCAGTTACACGCCTGCCGTCAGGTGCATTAAGGTCCTTTGAAGACCTTGTACTTGATTCAAGCGGAGAATGCGTCTTGAAGGGACTACAAAACAACCTTGTCCGGTCTACTTCCTGGACATTATCTGCTCTAAAGCCAACTAAGCATGGCCGATGTCACAAGGCCTACATTTGGCGAACTCTGGATCCTACCACTCCTAGTAGGGCTTGACCAATAGCTCAGACTTGAATTACGCCAACATGAACAGAAGGGGCAGTTCATTACGTCTTGAGAACCACAGCAACGGCCTGACATCATCCAACAGTACCTAGTAGATCTCAGATCAGGTCCAGAGTGCCGATGATCGAGAGATGCAAAATCCAGCCACGAGGACCAAAAGGAGGGGCTTTCTCCAAGTTTTGAGGGTCATTTGGAACATGCACACGACGGCCGTACTTGGAGACATGCGCTGAGTCACAAGGAAAAGTTACTGAAACCCTTTCATTCCCTGATCCTGAACCAGGCACGATGTCAGCCAACATTGGATCTCAGCCAACAAGAGGTACGCCCCAGATGAGCAACTCACCTGGCTGCTTCCCCCTGCTGCGACAGAACCCCCTCCAGCTGCGCTGCATTTAGAGCCACATTCGCCCTCGATGTCGCCTCCGCCAAACTGTTTCCCGCATCGTGGTCCCCCTGAGAGACAACAGGCAGACTCTGAAGGAGAGGAACAAAGAACCATGGAATCTCCACGCCGAACTTGTTGAAAACATAAAGATGGCTCAGATCTGTACAATTGCTTCCCGCAATCTGAAGGTAGTGTCAGAAACTTGGTCGCACGCAGCGAAAGCTCGACGGAATGCTTGAGCAACCTCAAGGCAACTCCAATTGCAGATGGAGCAGACTGGTTTTGCTAGTGAGGCATGGGAGCTTACCCCTTGTGACAGCATTTCAAAGGCAAATCTCACTGCAGAAAGGACATTTGTGAGAGCATTCCAGCATTCATGGATGTTCATTGGTCTGACCTGATGTTGGCTTTGACTTGTGTCCGGCCGGTTCCTCAAGTGCGAGCCCTGACTCCCTTGCACTTCGCTCAAGCTGCAGCTCAGGGCAGGTAAAGCGTCCCCGTCAGGGGGGGGCGCCGCGCCGCCCTGAGACCCGTCCCTGCTGTGGTGGCTCTGCCCCTCTTCCTCTTCCCTTGTGTTCTGAGCCCTTGCCACTTCGGGAGATCGGTTTAACCTGCTGAGTGCTGAGGTGTCGCCGAGGTCAGCGGTTGCAGAAGGTACGGGGTCGCTGGGAAAGAAGTGGCGCTTCCCATCGATTGTAACGACCGTACCTGGATACAAGACAAGTCTTTTGAGCCATGTCGAAGAGCTCATGACGTTGTGTGGTTCTTATTCTGCTTGGGAAAGAGGGGAGGCGGAGCGAAGTGAACAAGGCTGTAAATGGATGAGCTAAAAGTTGCTCTTAATGCAACGTGAAGCCTCTTCAAAAGATAGATGTAACAGGTTTAGGTCAATTTTGAAAGGGTGCGAAAGCATGATCTGACAACGCCAGAAGGACAGAGGAGAGCGAATTTGTAAGGCCTTAACAAGCAAGGGCGGGGGGGAACGTCTCGAGGGCTTTCAACAACGGTAGTGCTCAACGAGACTGGCAAATTCCTCAGCTGATTGACACTGCTGCCAGGCAAGTGATCTTCTGAAAAGCTTCCAGGAAGGAGATGGCGCACTGCGAAATATGCTCCCCAAACTGCTTATTTCAGAACAATTCGCAGTGCAACGACTAGGATTATGTGCTTCCTCAAAATAGACAGAACACTATGCAAGGGGTGAAACGTCAAAGTGACCTCCAAGTACCACGGAATCATCTTTGAAGAGTAGTAACACGACTTGAATAGAGAGTACAATCACGTTCAGCTTAAACTGAAGAGGTCATCTCCACCGTCTCCATATGTACTCAACAGGGCATTTCGCATGTTCCAAGAATCCTTTGAAAAGGCTCAAGGCACACAATCTGTGCCGTTGCAGGAACTGACAGTGACTTCTTTACATGTGGCAGATCAGCTACCAAAGCAGCAGGAACCAAAATGGAACCAAAAGTGTAAAAGTACTTGTGACAATCCAAAGAAAAAATGCAAAGAGGTCAGTTCCTTGCAATCAACATTTCTCACAGCAGATGCCCTTCAAATCAGTGACATGGCAACCAGTTGACCTCTCACATAACCACAACAGCGAGCAATTCCGTATTCCTCCTTCAAAAAGAAGGGCTTGCGACAGAACGGTTGAGTGGAGAGCTTCATCATGAAAAACTGGGTTGGACAAAACTGTTCTCCAATACAATAAGACTGACCTTTAACATCTCTATTCACAGGACCAAGAATGAGTCACTTCAAGCCCTTCGGCGGATAGCTACATCTCTGCAGTTTGAAGCATGTGAGCTCTGTTTGTTCCTTACCAGGGACGCCAGTAGATGATCCCTTGGTTGCATTGTTCAGGATGGTAATCTGCCCCCCCTGACTGTTGACAAACGTTACGGGGCTCTCGTTTTTGTTCCCAGCACATAAGCTATCATACACAATCTGCTTGATGGTCCCACTGCCAAAGACTTGACCAGGCTGCGTCACAAGAGAGGGCGCCGCCTCCTCGCTCGTAGCGACCTGTTCCGAAGTGCTCTCATATGACCTCAGCCTACTTGCGTCCTGCAGTGCACTTTGCCCCTGTAAGACAGAGCTCTGCAGAGGCAGCTGACTCAGCGGCGCTGGAATGGCCATTGGCTGCTGCTGACTGAGCACTTGCTGCTGATGCAACTGATGCATTAGAGCCTGGCCCTGCTCCTGGCTCTGCTGAGCCTGGCTCTGTTGCAACTGCTGAATGTTCTGCTGAGCCTGCTGTTGCATCTGCAAAGCTGTTTGCATTGGCACACTCGGCTGCTGCTGCTGCTGCTGCTGAACAGCTACGAGGAGCCGCTGCTGCTGGTCGAGGAAGTCCTGCTGCTGATCCAGCAACCGCTGCTGCGCCTCTAGTTGTATCGCCGTCCTGTCCAAATGCTCCTGCTCCAGCCTCTGCTGAATCTGATGCTGCAGATTGTGCTGAGAGAGAAGCGGCCCTTGATCGCCCCCTCGCAGCAACTCTGTCCCTTGCACGCTGGCACTCTCAGAGCCACCGAGACTCTCTGCATACCCCCCCTCATACTGCAACCGCCCCTGCTGGAATCCCTGCAGACGGCTCATGTCCACGGGCATTGAATGTGACGTTCCCAAGACAGGATCAAGCATCCGCTGCTGAGAATGGTCCGAGAAGAAGCCCCCTTGCTGGAAATGGTGCTTGAATGCACCGCTGCTCTCCAGTCCCGTCGCTTGCTCGTGGATTCTCAGCAGAGACTCAGAACTGCCAACCTTCCTGAGCTCAGTCTCCTTCTCCATCCTAACCTCACGGATACGGCGGCATCCCTCGAGCTACTGAAAGCACAAGCAGAAACCTGCACACACTCTCCCTAAGCCAATCCGCCATAAGAATGAGCACGCTTCTTGGTATGCCCCATTTGGCCACGGTGGCAGGGTTGGCAGTAGGTACTTCCACTCCAAGCTCGCCCGAATTCAAACCAGCTCCCAGACTGACATCACTAGGTAAAGAAACGGCCCTGAGCATGATGATGCCTCGCCAGCAGCTAGCTAGAGCCTAGAGCATCTTTCTATTCTAGACCTCGGCGTTTTGCAGCTAGCGTGCAGTTCGCGCTTTCGTGACGGTGACGAAGCTTGAGCAGAGGAAGAAAGCAGGTGCGCGCTCCCGTACGTGTGCCAGGCACACTTCCGTGAGTGAGGATGCAGTGCACTCTGTGCTTCAACCTCCTCGTTCCGATTCCCGAGTCCTGACTCCCGATCGGTCCGAACTCGCGCTTTTGAGAGTACCGGTACGGTACAGGTACCGGTACCGTACCTTGAAAGGGTAAACCGTAAGGTAGGTACGGTGCCTTGGATAGGTACCTACCGTAACCCGCACGTACCTACACGCAGCAACAGCTGCGGGTAGGTACTGGGTGACCTAGGTACCTACCTCAATGTTAACCTACCTAGGGTATACGCTTATACCTTATAAGGTCAGTTCTGACTTGTTGACATCAGCAGCTTTGACCGGTAACGCCTT